GCAGAAGGCCCGATATGCAGACCAAACTACTAGTGCAAACTTGCAGTATTATTTAACTTGCCTCAACCCAGTCAATCTGACTGGGACAATTTAGTAACAGCTACTTCCCAGATAAACACTACTTACAGTGGCTCTTTTTTCAGTGTCATGTATTAATGTGTTGATTCTTTGTTAATCCCTTACAGCAACAGGGATTAACCTGGTATCAAGGTTACAAGCAATCCATTCAAACTAGCAACAAACATCAGACAAAAACTTGTAAGAACAAAGCATGAGTAAAACCGATTGCTGTTACAAAATATTATAAATGTATCTTCAAGAAAAGATCTAAATAAAACAAAAACTTACAGTGGGATCACCACTGAGGTCAAGTCCCACTACAACCCCATCTGTGGAAAGAAGGAACTCTTCAGCAAGTTTAACAGTCTCCTTGGCAACTGCCGGGCCACCTCTTCTATTTATTGCTATTAACAATCTAGGATAGAAATGAACACATTTGAGTTAAATACAAGCTGTAATATCAGGAGACCAACAAATCTGATGCCAACAAAAATGGCACTTGACATCCTTCACGGCTAACGAGCATTTGTACAGGAAACTCTTCAAGGACTGAAGGTAGCAATGTACAGAGGGACATAACCTAGAAGAATACAAGAGCCTGTGAAACACAGTAGCCATGGTGGGAGGGAGGGCAGGGAGCAACACCCTGCTCATTTGCTGCCTGCTCTATGAGGCGAGCAACCTCTTGGAGGTGGCACACATGGAATATGAGAATTCTTCAGCTTCCACAAATAAATCTAACAAGGGTTGCTACTGAGAGTATAAAAGACAGTCCAGCAGACAGTGCCTCTAAGCAACCACTGACACCTGAAACTTTCCTGCTGCTTATGACTACCTTTCCTTTACACCAGCTCACTTGTGCAGCTGATCAGACAAAGTCTTTACAATGAATCCATGAAAAAGGAGTCTTTGACAAAATTTCCATCAAAAACACTCCTTTTCCTGAAAACGTCACAGAGAATAGACAATCTTAGAGCTGAAAAGTTTTACACAGTTTCATTCTCTATCAGGAAAAAAGACAAAAATCCACATTTCCTTATGAATCGCCTTTCCATTCCACTTAATCTAGTTTAAGCACAATTTTATTTCCTACAGTGATGGTCTGTAAACCTCTCTGCAAACCACAAATGAGTATCAGATGACCCAAAACCTTGAAATAGAGGTATTCTATGTGCATTATTTACCTTACATCTATATCCAAGCCTTCTTCTTTACACTGCTTTATACCCTCAAGTACAGTTTCAACATACATCCTTTTGGTCATACCTACAAACACATCAACACATTCATAACAGACATATTGAATTATTTTTAGTACGTTGCAGACCCAGCTCTCTAAGTTTCATGTTGCACCTTAAATTTTAATCTATAATCTTCTAAATTCTATAGTTCTAATTCTCTTTGTGGGTATGGCTTTACCTTGATGCACACATTTGAATTCAGCCTCCCCCTAAGTATCTCAAAATAACTTGGTGCGAACCAGAAAGTACCAAAAGGGCTTCTGTGTTTCTATTAAATCCCATCTAAAAGAACTTTTTTTTTTTAAATGAAGTCACAAAGGGAAAAATGTATCAGCTCTTAAAAATACTAGCAGACTCAAATGTCGTAATAAAGTGAATAACTCAAATTCTTGGGTAGCAGAGTTATAATCAACCTATTTTTCCCCCTCAAAAATCTACTGGTAAAGAGACATGGTTTTACAGTTAAATCTTTGCTTTTATATTTTAAGTGTATTTTTATTGAACCAACTAAATTTGACTTTACTTGTTATTAACATTGTTTTTAACTAAGTTTTATAGCACATCAGACTGATAAAAAAATAGAACAGACTGCACCTGTGGACTTTTCTTCTCTAGGAGTACTCCTCAATTCCAGATACTTGACACCATCATCAGCAAATTCTTTAATAACATCTTTAGTTATCTGATTAAGAAACAGCATACTCAACATCATGAAAGTAATGCTTGTAATTGGTTGCATTTTCCAATTAAAAAAAATGGTTATTTTTGTGTGTGTGAAACACAAAATTTTCAGGCCCCATGTGTTGTTAGCACTCTCCATTTCTGGAAATCCTGCCCCAGAGAGGTACTTTCAGTTCCCTCAGTGATATTGCAGAGAGTAAGGACAAACGAGAGTTTCCTTTTCTGAGCAGGAACACCACTCCCCTGGTGCAGTATAACCCCTTGCACAGCTACTATACCAGACTGTAAGTTTAACAGGCTGCCTAAAAGCCCCTTTACAAGAGGAAAGAAGAGGGCACTACATCACTTTCTGCTCCCTATTTTGACTCCACAGCAGTTCTTGACAGTTTTGTGATCTGAGATGAACAAAGGGCAACTCCAGTTCTGTTGGTTTGGTATGTATGAATGAGACTAGGGTAAATCAAAGCTTTCGTAACAACGAATAGACATCACATTTTTAAGACATTACCAGTCCCAGCATCTGAGTGGTCATAATTACCACCATATTGGAAGCTCACTGCTTTCACAAAAATTACATGTAGAAGTTCTATAAAATCCTTTGTTTCTAAATTCATGTCTTTTACAATAATAATTCTGACCTCCAATTGAAGGAACTGTTGTTGAAATTGTTTCTTGAAACCCAACACTGTTAATCCAACTAATTCTGACTCTGGGTATTGCTTGCTTGTTTTAATTGAACTTTTAATTTTCTTACCAGTAGAATATCTTCAGCCCTTGTGGTAATCTGATAAATGATCTGAAACATCTGAAAACATCTAAAATAAAAAGTTAAAAAATTAATTGGACAAATGCTGAACAGGAAAATCTGGATTCAAAAAAGAAATCTGCACTATGAACATATGTACTCACTGTGCTCAATTAACCAGCTCCTAACTTAAAATACAAAGACCATCTGAATGGTGATTTGATTTTAGATGCTAACAATGCATTTGCAACAGAAATTATTACTATTCCCACAAAGCTTTTTTAAGCACAAAGGAAAACTTTAAGTTTCCAAAAAAGGAAACTATGCAAGCAAATTTTCTCTGAAGAGCATATGCTACAAGTGAAATTTTTCAGTCTTTTAAAAAGGGAATTAATCAACATGAGATTTCCACTTACTCTACAAACATCTAAGAATTTATTCTATAGATACAAGTAGAAAAAAAAACTAACAGACTGTACTGTAAGTACAATTTGAATGTGTATTTTCTGCAGTCAGCATGTAAGGCCATACGTTTATTTTGAACTCAGTTCAAGAGACTCAGTAAATGTCCATCACACACACATGCGTATGTACTCACTCATCTAAGGTTCTTTTCTTTCCTTTTTCAATCATAGTCATTCCATTCTGGATCTGAAGGTATGGCTTCTGTGCCATAAGTTTCTTCATAGTGTCAGAACTGATAGAGCCATTCAAATGAGCATGAAGTTCCTAGAGAAAAAAAAAATCCTGTGGATGTGTGTCCAGTGAAGAGGGTGACCTCTACATCTTGTTTGCATTACTGTTCTTGTACCCTGCACTATAGTTTCACTCTAAGTCTGAAAATAACGTAACAGTTATCTCTGTTTGGCTAATAGTTGTTTGTTTCCTTGTGCTTTTGCATGCACTGGTTCAACCCAGACTGTCCTGTTTGCTCCTTGGTGGGCTGTTGTTGGCACTACTCTCAGTGGGAGCAGAGCTTGCTCAGGAAGAGCTCTCCAGCTTCTGCTGGAGTAATGACATTCAAGGCGAGGAGGAAGCAAACAGCTGCCTTGGTATGAAGTTCAATACGGATTCAAGAACTCCTTCTCCATGCACTGAAAGTCAAAGGTATGTGTACGCTGTTTGAAAATAGCAACATCTGTATATAAACTCACCTTCATTTGTTTCCATACTTTGAATTTTTAACTCACACCAGAAATCCAGTAAGACACTACCTCTACCCATTAACAGTAACTGGAGTAATTGCCCTCCTTTGTCGAAGCCTGCTTTCTACCTGACATCTCTTGACAACCTGACCTTGGGGTCCAAATCTTTGAGCCTCAGCTCTATCCCTCACTTCACCTTTGCTTCTTGTTATGAACTTTTGGCTTCCGGATTATGGAACAGACTCCTAGTGCTCCCAACCCATTCAAAATATATCTGCAAAGCATCTGCTTTGTTATCTGTCCCTTCATCCCCCCGGAATACATCCCCCTCACTGAGAATAGAAATATTGAATAAATATTTCTTTAAGCTTTTGATTCGAAAACATACTAAAATTGTAACTCCTTCGAGATTTAATTATTTTAGTTTTGTTAAGTATTATATTTCAGATTTCTATTCTAAGGTATGAAGGTAATAAGCAAAGGAAAAGGGTTCAGCTTATCTCAGACTGTGAATGCGCGCAACTACAACTGCACACTAGGAGCTACGGCTGCTTACCGCTTCTGGAAGTCAACCAAAACACGTATTACTACTACTGCATAAAATTTTTCACAGCCTTAGAATTGAAATACCTCACACAATTCAGTCAGACAGTAAACGCTGAAAAGCATCTTCTTGAAAAGGAGCGCGTGAGTACAAGGCTGGTGCCATTTGACATGTTTTGATCGCGCAGCCCTGCGTTTACTGCAGCAGCTCTCCCGTGGCGTACCTGCCGTTTGCTGCTCTGCACGTCCAGAGCTACAGCACCGA